CCAGAGCCATATCCACAGCCATAGCCAGAGCCATATCCACAGCCAGAGCCAGAGCCAGAGCCACAGGAGCTGCCGTAGTAGTTACAACACATGTTGTCAATAGGGGAGAATTCACTTGGGTTGCAAAAGAGTATTTCTCAAGTGTAGATGCCTCTGCTATCCTGGGACCTTTATATACTGCCAGTAATTGGCAGAGCATACCATTCATTCCCTGACTTAACTAACAAACATTTAAACTATTGCATTCCAGTCACTGTTGACAACCCATAATGGTTGCTTAAAACAAGCACATTACTTTGTAAACTCATTTCATTTAGAGAGCATCATTTCAATTTCCTCTGTTAGAGAAGTTTCTTAGTCAGATCATGTTGCCAAGCACAGAATTAATCTTTCCACTTGTCATTCAGTGTGTATCTTATACAGCGAGGCTTGGAGAAACTGTAAGAAAATCTCTCTTGGGGGCTGGAGAGATGGCTCAGTGGTTAAGAGTACTGACTGCTTTTTCAGAGGACCCAGGTTCAATCCCCAGAACCCACATGGCAGCTCTCAGCTTACAACTGTCTGTAACTCCAAGATCTGACACCCTCACATAGACGACATGCAGGCAGGCAAAATACCAATACACCTAAAATAAAAACAAATAAATTATTAAAAAAAATAAACTTGTTTTAAAAAAAGAAAATCTCTCTCCTCCTCCTCCTTTCTTTTTTTAACTCTTTCCTAAATTTCTAGCTTCTCCTACCTGTCTTCACTTTTACAACCCCCTCTACCCAACATCTCTACAGATACCATATATCTGATAATTCAAGTACAAGAGCGTCTATTGGGTCTCTTATGACTTATAGATATAATTAATATGCTATCTGTATTTGAGCCATGCATATCCTTCTTTCCTCCAAACGCCAAGCAAGCTAAGGTCCTGAGAACCTCAGCATCTTTCCTCTTATCTCTTGCTTTCTGGGCCAAAATATGTCTTGTTGTTGAGATACCTTAAAAAACATAACTAGCGTAATTTGGATGGAAAAGTAAAAATTTTAAATCTCACTTAGATAAGGAACTATGTTCTTTTCTGAAAAGGAGTTTTTTTTCAGACTTTGTAGATGAGATACCTGTGCATTTGTGGAATTTAATAAGCCATTTCCTTCTCCATCCACTAATGTTTCTTCACCTTTAATTTGGAAGTTAAAAGATGATGAGTAATTTTAGGATGCTGACAGCAAGGTGCCCTTGCAGCTCCTAACACTTTGCAGATATAAAATAGGAAAAAAATATAATTTCTTCCATCTACTCACACTGGCTGAAACTACTCATTTTTTCCAAATTCTGAGACTTCTACACCCAAAAGAGTTGTTCATTGTGACTCTGAAATATGGCATTTTCTCAAGCTCCTCAGCAGTTGTATCATGTTGACCTTTCCAAGATGTAAGAGAGAAGAATGAGTATCATTTCTTCAGATACTAATTTTTCCTTGTTGTCCTTATGCCACAGCTAAAGAACATCACTATTTGTACATTAAGTCAAGATTTCAAACCTTATCCTATAGGAAGGATTTTCTTGCTGATACTTTGATGACTCTCCTCTTTACTCTTATGTGTAAATAAAAGTCATGGACTTGTCACACTCTACTGAAATTTTGTTTTGTCCATAGATTAAAATATGGTGTTCATGAGGAGAGAAATCATATTGTCCACCTGGGAACTTCCAGTCAGATCCATATTTTACTGCAAATAAGCTTCAGATGAACATGAGACCTTGACAAAGAAGACATTCACATTGAAAGCTTAAATATACCAGGTTCTATTGAGGCAACGCTGAAGAGCTGAAGAGTCTACTAAAGTTCAAAACATGGTCAGGATTCAGGGTGGTATATGTAGGATGTGGCTGCTTGATCAGATGGTTGAAAGGTTGACTAATTTGGCTCTAAAATTCCTATTATATCCCACAAAACATCGAAGAAGTATTACTTCTTTTTGTATTTTCTCTAATTAATTTAAAATTGTACTTTTACAGATCCACATGAACCATTGATATTCTCCAAGGAAATGTTCATAATTTGTGTTTGTGCCTTTCCTCTCTATATATATCTATCTAATGTCTATATCCCTATCCTTCCATTTGTAACAGTTTGTTGCCATATACTACCTTAGTGGAAAATAGTATGTGTGCAGTGTAACTCAGTGCTCCATTTACATGATACAGAATATCTTTCAGAATATTGAAATTGGTGTAGTTAAACAAAGAGTAAAAAAAAATCTATCTTTCGATGAACTTTATCTTATATTCCTATCACTAAAGAATTTCAAAATTCATTCACACCCATAGTAAAGGTAAAACCTAGAACCACGTCATTTATCAGTATCCCTCAGACATTAATGGCAGCTGGTTATCCTCGAATTGATGTGGGGCAGATTGCATCAGTTGTCAGTGACTACACTGACATCTTCTCTAAGGACTTGATATTTTCAAAAGAATGTGGAGCTTAACAGAAGCCACTATACAGTGTGCAGGATGGGGAAGCATATTGTAGTTTGGTATTCTTCTCTCTCCTCTGTTCTTTCTCAGAGTACAAACCTACTAAAATAATTATTTGAGCAACATGATAGTGTTGTGCCCTGGTTGTTATTTGAACCTATATTCGTGCTACCATGCCATAAGAACTTGTATTTAAACTTTATGAAATTCCATTTAAGGGAATATTCATAAACTACAAAGATGAGTAGTTCTTGAAGCAAGCTTAGGGAAGAAGACCACATCCTTTCTACAGGACATGGAGGAGTATCAAACAAATTTGGGGTCCTTAGTGTCTTGGTCATCCTAATCAATGCTGCTTTCCATGTTTCTAGATCCTTAAAATCTAACCCTGGAGTTCTAACTCTAAATTTAATTCCAAGGATCAGATCATAAACTCATTGATTCCCACCCCCTCTGCAATTAAAATCATGAAACACACTACAAAGAATTCATAATTTTTTGTCTCTGAGTTTTATCTCTGTGCAGGCATCACTTGGACAACTGAGTTGAGTATGACAGACCCTAGATAAGCTCATGCTAGATGAAAGTTGTTCTTTTGGGAACTGGGCATTTGCAAGATCAGATATATGCACAAAGAAAGTCACTCCCATTGGAGACCTTACACAATCCCAAGTGTAGGGCTTATTGTTTCCAATATTGCAAGAACAGAAATGGAGCTACTGCCGCATCTTTCCAAACGCTTTAGTTACTTTGTCATGAATGTCTTATAACTAACATGAGAGAAAAACTATATACAAAAGTACAATAACTATATACCATATATACAAGTAATAAATAACTAAACAATGTCTAGTCCATTTGTATTTGACAAATTCAGAGAAAATAATTCCATTATCTATCCTATTTTGGTAAGTCCAAAATGTACCTAATTCACTTTCTATCCTAACTAATCTTCAACTATAACTAATCTTCAACTCCCTTCTCCAACTTCATGTCCACAGCCATGAAATCCAAGTTGGAAATCAGAATAAAACTTGTATTCTTGGCCATGGATGATTGTGCTGTTGGAGACATCTGGAAATCACTGGAGAAATTTTCAATTGTTTCAATTTATGGTGAGAAGGAGCCTCCTGGGGTTATCAAGTGCTAGAAACCAGAATGTTCCTAATTTTAGGAGACCAAGAAGAGTACCAAATAAAAGTGTATCTGACCTGAAATACCAATACTGTGGAGGTCTAGAAACTGATTGACAGCCATATGTCTATCAAGAGATGCATCTATTATGAAAAATTCTAATCCAAGCATGTCATTTTTTTCTTATGTTTACTCCTGATCCTTGATATCACCATACATGAAATGCAAATGTTTTAAAAATTGTAAATTAAAGGAAGTCTGCTTACTTATTTTTCCTTGTCCTGCTTACCTAGATTTGATTTGAGTATCACCTTAGAATCATGCAGACTCCAAACTCCAGCTATTTTTCCACTCCAACAACCATGAGATCGAAAGTGGAGGACAATATAAACCAGAAAGATCATTCACCTACTTAATGCTCGGTTTCAGGAGGTAGAATAATGAATGGAGAGCCACTAAATTAATGAATGTCTTCAGTAGGGTTTTCCCACAGATGACAGTTACATTTTGTGATGACTTAAGGCACCAAGCATTCCTTCTCCTTCTGTTGAGGAATCACCTACCTTTTCTCCTGGTCATTGGTCTTCCTGGTCCATCTGTGGTGCTTCATCCCTAGCAACAAACATCAAGAAAATAAAACTTCACTGAGAATCTCAGTTTCTTTCCTCTTCTGTCAATCTGGAAATTCAAAACTATAAATCCTACTTTACAGATGCTATGGAATGGATGCTTTGCTTTTCACTGCCACAGTACCTACTTCCAAAACAGAAAGCACTAAATTATCTCAAAGTTTTCCCATCCAGACTGTATGGCTTCCAGTACTTCCCCATGAAGATGTTGATCCAGAAAAGCAAAAACAATCTGTACTATGTACATCCATGAATAATCAGATCTGAATGAGTGCTTCACACACAATTTATACTTATCCAAGGCTTCATGCCTTTGGAAATGTTTGGGGTAGAAACTGCACTCAAGAAATCTTACTCCCTCATTTTGTTTTTTTAATCACACCATAGTTTTAGATGCTTGTGTGTAGTAGACTTTTGGACATCCATACTTAATTATATTTAAATACTGATGTACTCATACTTTAATGCAATAGTTTTAAAGTTTAAAGGCACATACTCAATGACATATGTGTGTTCTCTAATTCACAAAGTTGTGATGAAGTTAGCAAAATGTTTCAGAAATAAATCACCTTTTACATGGCCTTCATACAACCTAAGTCATTTTCATTATTTTCCAGTAAAACTGTAGCAGCAAGCTTATGCCATTGAGCATGATGTTATGTGTGTTCTCAAAGTTGGCAACTACAGAGTGGCTGTGAGGTGTTTCTACAGCATTTTACTTGATAGCATGATTAGGCTTCTGCTGGAAAAAATATCATGGGATATTTTGGGAGAACTACTAGAAGGATTCAAAAATTATTGTAAAATATTTTATTGTTTGGGCTACAACCATTTTGATAGCTTTCTTGAGTACTAGCCAGTAGGATATGTTATCCAATGTCAAATATTTGTTAGATAATAAATCCTTAGTGTCCATGAAATATATTCTAGAAACTTCCATAATTTGGGTTGTACATGAACCCCTAGCCCCTTCTCATATATTGGATTTATAAGTTCTGGTTCCAAAACTATTCTAAACTTTTACTAAACAATGAATAGCATACTTTTAATCGATATATCTGTATTATTTGCATAATATCTTTACACATATCATCTCAATTTATTCTTGTAATCTGATGTCATGAGTAAAGCAGGTAGTTGTTATACTCATGTTTAAAGAAAGAAGTGTTGATCAAGCCACAAGCTAAAGACACATAGCTGACAGGTGCTGTTCCTAGAAAATCTCCTTCCTGTTCATTACAAGGTGAGTGACTGAATAAGGAAAGATTTAGAAAGACCTCTCCTGACTGGGCAGGCAGTTACATTCTCCCAGCCGTGGTCATAAAAGCATTGGCATTCAGTCCTCCTGTCCTAACGCACTGGCCAATTGCTACTCTTGCTTCCTGCCTCCAGTCAAGTGCCCTCCCTTATGGAATTCTTTCTTGCTTCTCTCACCACTAAATCACCCCCTTGTGTTTTATAGCTCTATACACTTGCTTCTAAAGATTGCCTCTTAATGTTTTTATTCTTGTTATATAATCCATATAAAATTTAACAACTGCTTTCCAAACTACTGAGTATCTACAAGACTTGATTTTTATCTAAAAAAAAAAATATTTCACCCCAGCCCTTAATAGTATTCCTGGAGGTTTTTGTTTTGTTTTATTTTTCTGTTTTTATTCTCATATCTGTTTTTCTTATTCAAAAATTTTAATAATTGTTTTTGCTTTTTTGGCTTATGACACATTTGATCTAGCCATGGTGAGTTTTATCATTCAGGTCTGTCTTGCAATCCTAGGCTTCAAAAGCTAGTGTTTAATACAAAGGTGGGTAACAGAATAGAAAAGAGGAAATGTGAAAGATGTTTGGGCCTGGTGAAAATTGTATTCAATTTGTTTTCCTTGCCATTCATATTAGATCAAATAAACTTAAAGTAGGAAAAAGGAAATAGGTTAAAAATTAAAGATTAAAATTTCAACTTTACCTTCCATTGGTTATACAAATATACAATTCCCAAATCAAAATGTTAGGAAAAATGAGATGGTAAAACTGTCTAATGTGTGGTATGTAAAACAAGATCAGGGCTCCCACCACTCTCTCGGTTATCCATATTCTCTTCTCTCTCTCTCTCTCTCTCTCTCTCTCTCTCTCTCTCTCTCTCTCTCTCTCTCTCTC